GACCTTTGGGGACGTCGGGGGCATGGGGACGGTGGTGGAGATGGGTTGGAGGAGCTTGGGGAGGCTTGGGACAGGGGGATGCTTGGGGACAGGGGTCGAGGGGGTTTGGGGACACCTGGGGACATGGGGACACCTGGGGACATGGGTTGGAGGACCTCAGAGACACCCAGGGACATGAGTTAGGGAGGTCTGAGGACGGTGGAGGAGAAGAGGACAGTAGGGGACATTTGGGGGGTCTTGTGGCCACTTGAGAATGGGGGTTCTTGAGAATGGGGGTTGGGAGGGTTTGGGGACAGCTGGGGACAAGAGGACGCTTGGGGACGTTTAGCAGCCCTCGGGGACGCTTGGGGACAGGGAGGCCCCGGGGAAAATGGGTCTGGAGATACTTGGGGACATGGGGACACAGGGGACAGCAGGGGCGGGGGGTAGAGGGTCACAGGTGACAGGGGACATGGGGACCCTATGGGTCCCCACGAGTCATCAGCGTCCCCAAGTCCGTCCGCCTGTCCCCATAGGTCCCCGTGTCCATCGGTGCACCCTGGTGTGTCCCCAGTGTCACCGTGTCCATCCGCAGGAGAGGTTGCGTGGCCATCCACGTGTCTCCAGGCGTCCTCAGTGTCTCCAAAGGTGTCTGTGTGTCCCCACAGGTCCTTGAGGTCCTTGCGTCGGTCCAGAGGTCTCTGCAGGTCACCGTTCGCCTCAAGGGCGTTGCCACTGTCCCCATCTCTGTCCGCCTGTCCCCACAGGTCCTCGGCATCCCTGTGTCCCCATGGGTCCTCGGTGTCCCTGTCTCCGTGCACCTGCGGGTCCCCCGTGTCCCCAAGAGCACCTGTGAGTCTGTGGGCGTTCCCAGTGTCCCCCCACGGGTCCCCATCGGGATGTCCCCAAGGGATCCCCGATGTCCCCAACATCCCCATACGTCTGTCCCCGTGAGTCCCCAACGATCCCAGTGTCCCCACCTGGGTGTCCCTACAGGTCCTCAACAATCCTCCGTGTCCCCAACGAGCCCCCGTGTCCCCAGCGATCCTCCGTGTCCCCAACGAGCCCCTTCCTCAACAACCTCCGTGTCCCCAACGAGCCCCCGTGTCCCCAGCGATCCTCCGTGTCCCCAACGAGCCCCAGCAGCCTCAGTGTCCCCCTCCACACCCTCAATGTCCCCATCCACGTGCCCCATCACGTGTCCCCAGCACCCCGCCGCGTGTCCCCAGCACCCCACGGGGTTGTACCTGCAGGTCCTTGTCATTGGCGTGTCCCGGTGTGTCCTCGCCGTCCCCCACCGTGTCCCCGATGTCCCCCGGCACGTCCCCGGCATGTCCCCGCAGGAGGGCGATAGCATCAGCAGCGTAGAGGGCGAAGGCTGGGGGGGGCTCGTAGGGGGACGCGGGGCCCCGGGCCACCGCCGAGAGCAGCAGGGCCACCGCCCCCCCTCCCCACAGCAGCCCCCGCGCCGGGGACGCCGGCCTGCGCATGCCAAGGACACGTGTCATGCCAGCACCACGGCAAAGGGATGCCGAGGGTCACGCCGACGCCACACCAGTGCCAAGGGTCGTACCAACAACACAGGTCATGCCAACACGACAACAATGACTTGAGTCACGCCAACGACGTGGGTCACGCCAACGTGACGCCGCCAACGTGGGTCACGCCAGTGACGTGGGTCACGCCCATGTGACATCAACACTGTGGGTCGCACCAACGTGACACCAACGCCACGGGTCCTGGCAATGATGTGGGTCACGGCAACGTGACGCCAATGCGGTAGGTGATGCCAACATGACGCCAACGTCATGGGTCACGCCAACACGATGCCAACGCTGCAGGTGATGCCAACGTCATGGGTCACGCCAACGCCGTGGGCGACGCCAACGTGACGCCAACGCCGTGGGTCATGCCATCGCGACGCCAATGATGCCACACCAACACGTGGGGGACGCTATAGGGTCTAGGGCCACCCCCCACCCCGGGGACATTGGGTTGCACATGCTAATGACACATCAATGACATGCCGATGACATGGGGGGGGCACACAGAGGGAACGTATAGGAAATCTATAGGCAGATCCATAGGAGAACTATAGGGCTATAGGTAGGAAATCTATATGAGACCTATGGGGCTGCCTACGAGGCATCCACAGGGGACTAACAGGGCTGCTTATGGGGCAGCTATAGGGAACCTATGGGGCTGCCTGTGGGAGTTCTGCAGGGGGCCCTATAGGTGATCTATAGACTGGTGCGCTAGGTACCTATAGAGGATTTACAGGGGCTCTGTGGGGCCAGCAACAGGAGATCCATAGGAAATTACTGCACTCACTACGAGGGGCTCGGAGGCAACCTACAGAACACCTATAGGGTGCGTTACGGGGAATCTACGGGAAACACTTATGAAATTGGCTGTAGTGGATCTACGGGGCCACCTATAGAGCATATATAACGGATGCACTGCCTCGGCTAAAGAAATCTATGCTGAGCACATCCACACTTATGAAATTGGCTGTAGTGGATCTACGGGGCCACCTATAGAGCATATATAACGGATGCACTGCCTCGGCTAAAGAACTCTATACTGAGCACATCCACACGCGGGATCCACAGGCTGTTTCCGGGACCCCGTTACTGATCCTTATGGGGCTCTATAGAGGCTCTATAAGCACTGGAGACAAGGGAAGAGGCGGGAATCCGTGAGGACCCCCCCCCCAGGTGGGTTATGGGGCCGGTTCTGGAGGGCCACGGGGGCTATAGGGGGGCCGCAGGGGCTCTACAGGGGACATATAAGGTTGCATGGATGATGCACTGGGCTCTATAGAGGACTCGCGGGCCCGGGTGCAGGGGAACGCGGGAGGGATCTCCTGGGCGAGTCGTGGGGCTGGTTCTGGGGGGCTACGGGG